ACACCTACATTCATGCACATTCTTTTTTATTTAATCTCTTTTAAAATAACACGGGATGGTAATATTTTGTAGTAACAATTTAAAAAGTGTTTCAACGCAGAGTCCTGTTTCGAGAATAATAGCCCTTCTGAGCTAATGCTTCTTTGGGTTAAAATTATGATATCTAAAATTATGGTGAATGATTGTTATAATTATGTAACTGAATAATGGAATTTGAAAATGCAGTATGCTGGGAGTGTTGATTCAGAATCAGAGTATTATTATTACCTCTGAATTTTTGTTGCTTTTAAACTCTCATAAAAGAAAAAGGTGAACGCTACCATTTATCAGAACTAATGAGATATATTTTTATATAATTATTTTTTGTAAATTTTGAAATATTTAGATGCAGTTCTGAAAGGGCCAGTTATCTTATGCAAGAGTGGATGCCTTTTCAACTAACTTCTCAAGCACCCATTAACCACTGGAAAATAACACATCAGTCGGTACAGAGAACTTAGGCAATTTCTTAAGCTTATTTTTTAAGAATTGTGGAGTCTTAGGCTTCGTATAGGTTACGGTTTTGTAGTTATAAAGCTTTGTGGTTTAAGACATAAAAGTCATAAGTCCATGCCATAGCAAATCAAAGAAAAGAAAGTTGCGCATGCGTATATGCGTAGCTCATTCAGCTAAACTATCAATCGATGTGATCGTTGGTTCTTATACCAGCTCTGGCATAAAGTTAAAACTTTTATATAAAAGCTTTAATTCTATTTTTGTAGCCTGTCAAAGTCTGATTGCTTAGTAGAAGCTTAAACCTGTTATGACTTTAAAACCACCGTGTAAAGGAAGCTAATGACGAGAAAGTAAAATGCAAATAAGAATGAAACCACAATTTCAGAAGGATGCTTAGTACGTCTGTTTTAAAACGTGAATAATACGTAATAAACTTAGAATCGTACATATTTGGTAATTTTTGATAATTATTGAAATAAGTTATTATTATGTAAAATATTTTTATTTCTGTTATGCTGTATAAACAGTTTGAAAGACCTTTCCTTAAGCACCATCATCATGATAATAATTTGAACCTTGGACTGAGAACTAAAATTTCTTGGACTGAGAACCAAAATAATTATTTTTTCAAATCAACGAACGAGAATCGTGTAGTGCAATGTAAAAAACGTTTTTAAATTGAAGCAGTTAAAAAATTGTGATTAATTTCGGCAGCGTTTAATAAACCGTAACCTAATTTGTGAACAATCTTTGAGAATATATATATATATGTCTAATGTCACAGAAACTAGAAGGCCTATTTGTTAATAAGAGAGATGAGTGAGTGAGTGAGTGAGTGAGTGATTATGGCGCAAAAACCAGAGATGATTATGACGCGCCAAACAAAAGGTGATATGATTACAATTGATGACATTAAAATTCAATAAATAAAACAAGTAGATAAATGTACCAAATCCAGAGGATGAAGTCATATAAAAAACAAGTTAAAAGCACATATTAACATTCAAGACACAGTCTTCAAAACAAATTACATTTGGTAATAAAAGCCAATCTCTTTTAAATAATAAAATAAATTAGAATTGACCTCTCTTCCGATTAAACGGTCGAGAGGTAAGTCATAGCTATTAAAATATTTCTGGCGAAGACTATTAAAACATGGAACTCAATTAAAATATGACGAACAGATAAACCAAACATTACAATTAAAACAAACAGGCTCATTTTCAGCTTTGAGAAGATAGCTATGTTGACTCTGGTGTGACCAATTCTGAGTCGAGTCAAAAGAACGTCCTCTTTACGATTCCAGCAAAATCCAATGCTCAATTCTAGGCTTGATGTTTCTCAACTTGTTGTGATGCTGAACATCCCAAATTTGCTGCCATTTTTTTTTCGTATCTTTCCCTTGATGACACAGCAGATTGTCTCTAAAAGGGATAAGGCGACTGGACAGTTCGACAGCAGATTTTGCCGCGATGTCTGCAAGCTCGTTTCCCTTTATTCCCGTATGCCCGGGAACCCAGCAGTAATAAGAGAGATGGATGATTAGCCGACAGTCTAATTTTAAATTAAAAATAATGTAAGAATTATGACAATAATGTCTAATTCAACTGTGTTAAAAACACCAAAATATAATTCCTTAATATTTCATGTATAGCCTTTCATGAAAAACAGCAGTTTGGTGGTGAAAATAATTAGATTTAGAACTTGCTTTTTAACTTATGTTTATTTATTTTACATATTTCATCATATTTCACGTAACAAAGAAAACATAACTAAATCAAAATTAGATGATGAAAGAGAGCAACTTTTATAAAACAAAATACTCATATCAAAATGAATACAGAAGCAATGCAAAATTGAAACGAAAACAATAAAATAAAATTTTAGAATATAATAAAAATGTTAGAAAATATATAAAATGTTGTTAAAAATTAATTACTCTTTCCAAGGAGCTTTTATATTTTTTTCATGTGTTTAAATATGAACACTCTGATATACTCAGTTTATTAATTTTATTTCAATTATTTTTCTTTCAGTTCTTAATATGAGTTTCTCCCGTTAGGAAGCTGCCGTCTTTCATGACCTAATTTTGATTTAATTACTTTCTCTTGATTATGTAATTATGTGCTGTAAATAAATTAAATTGTTATACTTGTACAATATATATTATCTTAATTTGAAATTTGTTACCATTTATATATATATAAAGAAATACATAAATAGGCTAAAAATTCTAATTAAAAATTAGAAAAAAAAAAAAAATTAACCCGTCTTTCGCTGTAGCTGCTGGATTGAAGTATAATAAACTTCGTCTCAAGACAAAGCATCTAAATTAACTAGTAAATTGGCATAAAAGCAAGGCGATTTCTCCATAATATAATAATTGCAACCGTGTATGAGAGGTTTAACGTAATATCGAAAGTAGTAGAACTAAAAAGAGAATTCATAGTAGAACAATCTCGAAAAATAAACATGCGAAAGGAAAATACAAATAAAAATTAATCTCCTTTTAATCGTAATAATAATGAATCTTTTATTGAAACTATAATTCAGAAGTATACATATATAATTTCTTTACTAAAGTAATGTTCAATTTTAATGAATCTCAATTAATTAATCATAGATATATATATATATATCTATATGATTAATTATATATATAGTGATTCTAAATTACTTTTACAAATTAAGAGGGGGGATAGTACTCATCCCGATGAGCAATAATTACCATAGAATATAGGGTTGCATTCCACTCTGAGAGGCAGAAAAGAAGTATATTAGAATTCCAATCTGAACTTGTTGGAAGTGTTGGGAGAGCGAATGAACGAGACCAAATGTTGCAGAATCAGTTTAGTCACAAACTCACAGAGAGTGCACAAAGCGGATAAAACCGAGAATTTGACTATGTAATCAAAAGCTGAATATTATCAACTAACTCCAACGTCCGCTGCGTGCCGAGATTAGCATGAAAAGTTCATGCTGCTTTCCGGCTGTCAGAACTTCGTGTCCCATAGAAGGTGTCCACCGATAACATCGCGCCAAAAACATCGCGGACGTAAACGTTGCGGAGAAAACAGCGCAAGGCGAAAACGTCGTGCTACAAAACATCGTGGGAGAAAATATCTCAAAGAGAAAACATCGCAATTCTAAAACATCGTCGTCGAAAATAAAGCGGTTCAAAAACTTCGCAGTTTAAAAGTACCGCCGTCGAAAATATCGTGGTAAAAAATAAAGTATCTACAAATCACCGCAGACATGCTTTTTTCAGGTTTTAATAATTGTAAATGGTTATTCCCGTAATGATTATGAGCGCAAGACGTAAAGAAGGATAATTTTTACTTTCACATTTTTTATTAACTAATAAATTTTTGCTGAAAAAGTAAGAAGGAAACTTAAGCATAGAAAATTAAATGCAACTTATAGATTACACTTTTCATGAAAAATTACAAGTAAAAACTTTATAAAAATTAATTTATTAATGGCCTTTGTTAGTTAACTATATCGGTTTAAAATTATATTAAGTGCTATAAGTTGCATTGATTTTCTATGCTTAAGTTTCCTTCTTATTTTCTCAGCCAAAATGTATTAGTTAGTAAAAAATATGAAAGTAAAAATTATCCTTCTTTCCATCTTTCGCTCACAAATCATTATGGGAATATCCATTTACAATTATTAAAATCTGAAAAAAATCATGTCTGCGATTTTATCGTCAAGCGATGATTTGTAGATACTTTATTTTTTACCACGATATTTTCGACGACGATGTTTTTAAGCTGCGAAGTTTTTGAACCGCTTTATTTTCGACGACGATATTTTGTACCACGATGTTTTATAACTGCGATGTTTTCTCTTTGCGATGTTTTTTTCTATGATGTTTTGTAGTACGACGTTTTCGCCTTGCGTTGTTTTCTCCGCGACGTTTTCGTCCGCGATGTTTTCGGCTGTAACCCCATAGAAGGGCTCTTCAAGTAGAATGAGCGCAGCAGAGTAAGTTCAGGAAGACAGGATAGAAGATGGCTAAGAGAAAAACAACTTTTACCTTGATACTTGATATCAAGGTAGTTTTTCTCCCTCCCTAATAATTTAGATAATTAACTTGTTGCAAGCATTTGCGAAGTGGAGATTTTGCCAACCAAAGATGTGCTTTTGAGTGTTAGCCATCAAAGTCTCAGCTGTAATTAACACTCGAACGCCAAGTTCTTGGTTTTATACGATTTGTACACTCTCTGTGAGTTTGTCACTGAACTGATTGTGCAACATTTGGTCTCGTTCATTCACTTTCCCAACACTGTTGTAAGTTCAGATTGGAATTTTAATCTTCTTCTTTTCTGCCTCTCAGAGTGGAATGCGACCCTATGTTCTATGGCAATTAATTGCTCATCTGGATGAGTACTACCACCCCCTCTTAATTTGTAAAAACAATTTAGAATCATCTTGTATATATATATGTGTGTGTGTGTGTGTGTAGAAATGCATGGTTTGAAACATTTTCTCTCTTTCTCTAGAATGCAATTGCAGAAATGGTGATTGCAGTATCGTAAACGGAAAGAAAGTATGTGCTTGTTATCCTCATAATGCGATGGAGCACGGATACTGTGAAGGTAAAAAGTGTCATTTTAATAACTTTATTGGGTATATTGAGGCTGTTTGCACATTTTTTAGACAATTTTGTTTTGCTGTAAAAAATAGCCTGCTTGGAAAACGTTTTTAACTGCAACTATATTTTATCTTCTGCTAGTTGACAACTTTTTTAATGTAAAACGGCTCTTTTGAAGAATCAATGGACAGAGAGCTCTATTTTTGCATTTTCTCAAGAAAATGTTTCGTATTTAGTTATTAAAAATGCTGTGAAAGCCATGATTTTTCGGTATCTAAAGCAACAACAGATAATATTGTCAATAAAAAAAAGGAAAGGAAAACACGTCAAAATTTGGCTCCAAGGAGAAAAATTCTTCAAAATACATAACCAAGGGAAACATGAAATGTCTCGAATGTTGCTAACGTAAGAACGTTAACGGTAAAAGAAAATCTTCGAACTCAAAGGTCAATTGCCATAATCACTAAAATGCTCAGTGCCAAATGTATCGAATCCTAGAGAGGCGAAGAAACGTAATGTGCATTGTCTTTCTCTACAACACATCGCCAAAAGCAGAACGCGCTACAGAATTCTGTATGAGAAATAATTATTCGGACAAACATGGAAAAATTTTGTCACACAATATGAATCTTGGGTATATTTAAATAACCACAACAAAAAATATCCATTTATTAGCATCAAAGAAAATAAAAGCAATCTTAAAGCACGGTTTCAAAGAATGTAAAGAAAGGTTTTCAAAGGGATTTATGATTGTTGTTGGTTCTTGATAAAATGACAAATAAAAATTAAAGAGAGTGCAGAAAACTGTTAAGCTCAACGCCACATATTATCAGGAACATACTTTATATCCCAGTTTTTAAATATGGAATACCTTCTGTTTACCCAGAGTGCCGTCAGTCAGTAGAACAGCATCAAGACAAAGCAAGCAACCGTACTTCCAAATCCACTATTAATTCCCAGGAAAGAGATGGCACAGTAAAAGTGTAACAAGAAACATGTAACCCACATATTAAATCTCCTGATGCATGGATCATCCATGAATTTTTACTCTTTTGGGCTTTTAAGAAGCGGATTATCCACACGTCGACCTACAACCTTCATTGTACTTTGTAAATATGTTCACGTGAAAAGGGATAAAATACCTCCCCTGCTACTAACAAAAAGCTTTTTTGTCTTGGAAATTATGGCGTAGAAAGATAAGGAAGAATAAGGTTATGTATTTTGAAGAATTTTTCTCCTTGAAGCCAAATTTTGATCAAATGGAATGTATAAAACACAACAATTTTAGGTAAAATATTTTTAAAAATACAATGAAAATCGTTATAAATATGTGGCAGCAGCCTTAATGTAATACTAAATTTTAATATTTAAAATAAAATGAAGACAATTCGAAAAAGGCATAAGAGGTAATAATAATTTAACTGTTAATGGGATCCGAGAAACTTTCACATTTGTCAAATTATTAAATTATAACTTATTACCTTGTCCAGCGATGAAATATTTAGTTCTATTTAAAAAAAAATAAAGCATGTATTCGTTTTACTTAAATTAAAATCATCACAAGAGCAATTTGCTTCACATTGCTGCAGTCTTGTTTCTTTTCTTCCCCCTCCTAGGTATGGCCAATTGGATAATATCGCTAAGCATTCGTACTGCGATCCGGATTCAAATTCTACAGAAAAAGGCTGCATGGGCACTTTTCTGATTTTTCTAGTGTATAATGTAAACACGATGTCGCTTGCGCTGCAAAGACTTCCACAAAGATATCCCTTTTCTTAACTCCTTCACATCGTAATCCTAAACAAGGAGGTCAGAATAAATACGTATCCGCTATTGCAATACGAAGAGAGTGAAGCCGGGGGAAGCACATAAGACCACGCCACGGCACGTGAATGCAAGAAAACGCTGCCCTTACTAAGCGAAGTAAGGTTAAACGTCAGCTGGTTTCACGTTCTCAGAGTGTTTTCTTGTTTTCTATGCGATGATGTGAGAAGCCTAAAGGTTGTTGAATTGTCGCAACGAAATAACGTCTACATTTCCGATTGCATTTCTATGTAAAAGAATGTTTTCGAACATGCATAAAAAAAAAAAATAGAATAATCGAAATGTGTGTTTGAGAAGCCTTCAAGAAAGGGTACAACAACAAACTCTTATAACCGCTCCTGCTACTGAAAGCAACTGCGGTGTTTTGTAACTATTCTAATTGTTACAAAACGATTGTTAAAGTGTAACGATTGGAATCCACGTTTCTAACCACTCCGTTATCTCACTCCGGATTAGGCAGGAGGCGACAGGAGGATTAGGCAGGTGGCGACTACCAAAGTGGGCAAAAGCTAATAGGCTAAAACAGGGAAGAGCACGTCAACTAAGCAAAACAGCTTTAAAAAAAAAAAAAAAAAAAGCCAGCGGCTAAAAGAGGAGGGGTGCCTTTCGGCTAAACGGAAAGAAACAAAAAGCCAAAAACTAGTCTAAGATTCAAGAAAGGGTAAATACCCGTTGGCCAAGCTATTTTTGACGGTACATGGATACTGAATTTGTGCAAGTCTTCCACTTGTTATTTTGGCTTGTATAGCAGCGATTTTTGCGCCAAAAATCGCCACTACATGAAGCCAAAATAACAAGACAAAGAACTGCACAAACTCGGTGTCCATGTACACATCTATATATTTTCACTTAAAAAGTCAAAGGAGCACTGAATTCTACAGTACAGGCAAAAAAAAAAAAAAAAAAAAATACATAATCTCAATAAACTACATTTTAAACCTAACAATAAACTAACATAAAAATGGATTATGCATTTAAGCATTACGCAAAGCAAATATCCACTTACCTCTGTGGCCCACAAAATTCCTTAACAGGCATCCAAAAACTTCCTAAAATTATCTGAACTAGAATCCGTATATCGGCATCGCCACATAAATAACAAAAATAAGAGTAAAAAATATCCTACGTATTCGGAACTGTCCCGAAAATGGCTACTAAGTAAACCTTCATTTACATACCAGTCAATTAATGCATTTTCCCACTTTCGTTCCAAATCGTACAGAAACTTCAAATTAATCTTACTATATTCAACCATTCTACCGTCTGAACAATGAAACAATCAATGTATTTACTAACCACACGCACCCATCAGTCAAATTCATGCAACCAATTACGTCATAATAGGGTTTCCATAACTTTCAACTACTCAGGTTACCATAAAGGAAACAACAACTTAACAATAAACGGAACAACAACTTGGCGATAAAAGAAACAACAACTTCGCAATAATACAAGGGGCACCCTAAAGTCAACTCTAACCCAAGAAAAAGTTTCAGTATTTTCTTTGTGCAACGTGCAAGAAGAAACATATATAGTTCTCCAATTTTAATTTTCTTAATAATAATAAATGTGATACTCGTAATTAACTTACATGTGACAGAAAACGGTACGTAAACAAGGGGAGGAGGGGCTACTTGGCATTTTGAAGGAAATACATTCCAATAAAAATACGTATGTATAATACGGGCGTTTCAGATGCTTGAGTAAAAAAGATTTTCGAGTGCACTGTTGTGAAAGAGTTAAATAGATGGTTTTCGTTAAACGCCCTTAGCTGTCGAAAAAATTGTAAAAGTGTTTATATATATATATAGAGAGAGAGAGAGAGAGAGAGAATTACGTATTGCTTAGAAGGTTACAGCCGAAAACATCGCGGCAAAAACATCGCAGACGAAAATGTCGCGGAGAAAACAACGCAAGGCGAAAACGTCGGGCTACAAAACATCGTGGGAGAAAACATCGCAAAGAGAAAAAAAACATCGCAATTCTAAAACATCGTGGTACAAAACATCGTCGTCGAAAATAAAGCGGTTCAAAAACATCGCAGTTTAAAAACATCGTCGTCGAAAATATCGTGGTAAAAAATAAAGTATCTACAAATCATCGCATGACGATAACATCGCAGACATGCTTTTTTCAGGCATGCTTCAATAAGTGTAAATGGATATTCCCATAATGATTTGTGAGCGCAAGATGGAAAGAAGGATAATTTTTACTTTCATATTTTTATTAATTAATACATTTTTTTTGCTGAGAAAAAAAAAGGAAACTTAAGCATAAAAAATTAATGCAACTTATAGATAATAGAATTTTAAACAGACATAGTTAACTAACAAAGGCCATTAATAAATTATTTTTATAAAGTTTTTACTGGTAATTCACTTAATTCACGGGACACTGGTCACTTATTTTTACTCTCCTTCTTCTTTGCATTTGAAGGAACCTCAGTTCTTGACTTAATCATGGAACTGCGCGTTGTGGCCACATTTCTACTCAGTTAAGCACTTTTTTCCGACTCAGCAATATTTTACCGTACCAATTGATGTACCGTATTTGTCGGCGTATAAGACACACTTTTTTCCTTTGAAAATAGGTCTGAAAAACGGGGTGCTCTTATACGCCGATACTTATTGCGTCGATACGTCATTTCTAAATGGGTCAAAGCTTCATACGATGCTGTGAAAACACAGTGGTTAAATCATTTAAGAAGTGTTACAATTAGTAATGCACTGGATGGTACAGAAGATAATTTGTTGTATGAGGACTCAGATGCTGATTTAGAAGAGGTTTCAAGTGACTCTTCACTTAGCTCTGGAGATGAGCGTCTGGCTTTTGACGAAGAACATTAAAAGGTGTTCTTTCCCAGATAGATTGGGTGTTTTCAGAAAGTATTACTTTGTATGTGTATTACTTTATATTTAAAATACTGTAAATTCATTCAGTATTCAGTAATAAAAGTTTTATCCTTCAAATATGTGCATAAAAAAGGGGGGTGAGTCTTACACGCCGGTGCGTCTTACACGCTGGAAAATACGGTAATTTATAGTTGATAAACAGTTGACTAGCAATGAGTGTTACTTACAGTTGTGTTATTAGTATTAACTATAATGTTATTTGTAGATGATAAATAGTTGATTTCATGATTTATAATTGACCAGCAAATTTGATGCGGTTAATTCTAAT